TTATATTAAAATAATAATGAATATTATATTATATATTTTTAGGTTAATGTAATATAGATACATACTGAGGTGAATCAACATTTGAAACTTACAGTTAATTACTTCTTAGGAGCATTACTCTTTATTTTTTCTGTCACATATCATTAAGGTACTCAATAATCAAGGTACAGGTATTATTATAACAGGGACATTAAAATAAAACATCACAAAAAAAGAAAATACAAGTACATTAATAACATTTCAGACTATGGGCTCTGAAAATATATTTTATTGTAAAAAATAAATAATTATTTACTTTACATATATCAGGAAAATAAATTACACAAATATGAAAAATTCTAGAACTTTATTACTTATCTTCTCCCGTTTCTGCTATATTTGAAATTTCTTTCAGGAGAAGCAACTGTATAATTACCAAAATTGTATCTTAGATTCGATAACAGTCAACATGTAATGTGTATAAGCATTTGTATATGACTATTGTGATTTAATGTTTAAATGTGGAATTCTTTGTAATGATATTTATAATGTGCAAATGGCATACATTAAAATCTTATAATAATGAGTATCATTTGCACATGGCTCTTGCATAGCAGAGAATTATTACTTATTTTATACTGACAGTTTAAGCTGAGAAGGATGCAAGGAAGTCAGTAACAATTTTCTTTAAGTTTGCATCAGATGCTTCACTGATGGTATTCTCTTTAGCAATAGTATTTAGAAGGTCTCGTTGAGTAGCTCTGAAAAGATAAAATTAAATAAATAAAGTGGCTAAAATGTATTTAAGCACCTATATAATAAAATTAGAAATTAAATACCTGATGTGAGCCAAGAATTCTTTTTCAAAAGCTGTGATTTTTGTAGGTTCCATCTTATCAAGATATCCACGAACACCGCAGTAGATAACAGCAACTTGTTCTTCAATAGCCATAGGTACTAAAAATATTAAAAAATATTTTCATTTGATTTTAAACTTCACTAATTTTTTCGAAATTTGAGTTCATAATGTATATTATAAATTCTTACCATATTGTCCCTGTTTTAGAAGTTCTGTTAATCTAACACCACGATTCAGCAGTTGTTGAGTTGCAGCATCCAAATCGGAACCAAATTGTGCAAAAGCAGCTACTTCACGATACTGGGCCAATTCCAATTTCATGGAACCAGCGACCTATCGAATAGAGTACAGAAATTATTTAAAGTGTTATATAATAGACATATGTACTTATGTTCATAAGTTTATAAATGGAAACACCTTATACCTGTTTCATGGCCTTTGTTTGGGCAGCAGAACCGACACGAGATACTGATAAACCTACATTGATTGCAGGGCGAATACCCTTATAGAACAACTCCGTTTCCAAGAAAATTTGGCCATCAGTGATAGAAATGACATTTGTGGGAATATAAGCAGACACGTCACCAGCTTGTGTCTCAATAACAGGTAACGCCGTCAGTGAACCACCTCCCAAACTTTCGTTCATTTTAGCCGCTCGTTCAAGAAGACGAGAATGGAGGTAGAATACATCACCAGGATAAGCTTCACGGCCTGGTGGTCGTCTCAACAATAAAGACATTTGTCGATAGGCAACAGCTTGTTTCGATAAATCGTCATAAATAATTAAAGCGTGCTTTCCATTGTCTCTGTAAAGAGTTATTATAAATTATTGCATTATATTGAATATATAACATTTGAAATTACTGAAAATACAACAAAAAGTTAGTATTCAATTTAAGAAAATTATTATATACAAATTAAACACCTGAAAAATTCTCCCATAGCACATCCAGAATATGGAGCCAAATATTGAAGAGGTGCTGCATCAGAAGCAGTTGCAGAGACAATGATAGTATAATTAATAGCTCCACTGTCTGTTAAACGTTTTACTATTTGTGCAACAGTGGATCTTTTCTGACCAATGGCAACATAAATACAGTACAACTTCTTTTTCTCCTCTCCAGCATCATTAAATCGTTTTTGATTAATAATAGTATCAATAGCAAGAGCAGTTTTTCCAGTCTGTCTGTCTCCAATAATCAATTCACGTTGACCACGGCCAATGGGCACTAATGAATCTACAGCTTTAATTCCAGTTTGCATAGGCTCTCTGACAGATACCCTTTAAAAAAGTACATAAACGATACATATAGTAAAAAATTAAAAAACAATTAAGAAGCAGTAACACCTATATAAAGAAAATAAGTACCTAGGAATAATGCCAGGTGCTTTAGTACCAATACGGAATCTCAATTTACTGTTAAGTGGTCCTTTACCATCAATAGGATTACCTAAAGCATCTACAACACGCCCTAGCAGTTCTTCTCCAACCGGAACATCAACAATGGCTCCAGTACGTTTAACAATGTCACCTTCTTTAATGTGCCTGTCATTACCAAAGACGACAACACCTACATTATCAGGTTCCAAATTCAGGGCCATGCCTTTTAACCCTGAACTGAATTCCACCATCTCATCAGCCTGAATATTCTTAAGACCATAAACACGGGCAATACCATCACCAATACTGAGCACTTTTCCAGTTTCTTCAAGATTGGCCTATAATTTATTTTAAAACAAATACACATAAAAACAAAGAAAATTAACTAATATAAATGAAAGAACAAAGTATAACATGTTACATAACATTTAATTGAAATTAGAATTCTGTATTCAGACTATTTATTCTGAATATCAATTAAATTTATTACCTTTGGGGCTGCACCAAGAATACGATCTTCCAAAATGGAAGAAATTTCAGCAGAGCGCCGACTGCAAGATATATGATATTTGCAAGAGGCTATACCCAGAGGCCATTTAACCTAAAATATAAAATAAAAACTTATTATTGTTATCCCATGGAAATATACTACTCAAATACTTATTACATAACTTGGCACTATTCTGTTTATGTAATACACTGCACCAGAAAAAATTTATGACATATATTCCGATGATTATAAAATTTAGACAAAGATGATTGCAAGTAATGCAACATTTTTAATTCTGTTAAGAATACAAATTACATTAAGTAACGTATGGGTACGTGTGATTGTTGCAAAGTGGAAAATGTCGGCATGTTCTACTTGGGTGTTTTCTCGTAGATAAATTACGAAAATGAAAATTAATTTGTTTATAATACCTGAATTGTAGCATTTGGTAATTGTCTCGCTATCGAGGAAGCCAAACGTAAAGATAGAGCCATTTTGATATGCTGCAAGCCCGTCAACCGGACTATGAACTCAGAAACGAAGAACGATTAAGACAGGGCCGAGCAGAAGAACGTCCAGTGTAACCCCACTCTGACATCCATACCGGCAGGAAGTCGATATCCACCGACCTGCGCTGTAACCTCGAATCCAGATATATATACTTATTCATAAACCAAATTATTTTACATTCAATATACGTATAAAATATAGTATATAACTTATAATTCAAATAAATTTTTTTAGAAAAATATGTATAGTTAGTTAACTTTATAACATAAATTTTAGAACAATAGATTTCTGGGTACGAGGTTATACCCAATTACACAATCCTAGTACAAGATATTGGCGCCAAACTTAGATTTAAAACACACATTTAACGACAAATGTATGATTACTATCAAAATAATGTTATACTATTATAATTATTTTCATAATAAATATGTAATTAGTATGTATGATACAAATATAATAATAATTAATGGCATAATAGTGACAAATTCCTTTTTTTAGAACAACCACAAAGTGAAGGTAGTTTTTTTACGACAAAAACATAATATACATAATTTGATATTTTATTTAGATTTTATCATTTTAAAAATTGCATAAACTGTTGTAAATTGGGCAAAAAATAAATAGTTCGTTATTTAGTATAGAAACATTTAATTTACGATTAAATTCGATGATATAGGAATAAAACAATATTGTAGTAACAACTTGAAATTTTTTATTCAATAATAAGTTGTATCAACAGGAGTTGTGACAACGAATATGTATCAGTACATATAAAAATTAAACAATTTTATTATTTTTTAGAAATGTCATGTTCAGGTTAAGTAGGTTGGATATGAAAGTATCATTGCACCGGCGCTAAAGTTTGTTATTGTCGTATCGTATTGATTATTGGTCGCGACTGTGGTTGAAAGATATATTGCTACTAATTTTATGTAAAAGCAAATTTGTAATTATCAAAAAAGAAGTAGAAAAAGTAAAAAAAATTCATTTATGCAGAAAAACATCTGTTGTTTTGTTTATAATTGCACTTGCACTGCAGTTGTTTTCCAAGAACAACAGATGACAAGACAGGTACTACATTGTTTACACTTTATATTTAACAATATACAAATTATTTTAATTAAAGGGTATATTTTAGGTGAACCAATATTGATTTGTAATAGCATTTATATAAAAATGACATGTATAGTGAAACAACATACTTTCTGTTAATAAGTACCTAGTGTTATACAAATAAAAGTATGGATTCTGCTACTGAATCAGAACATATAGAAAAGTTAGCAAAAGAAGCTGAAAGTTTAAAAATACGTTTAGAAGATGAAAGACAGAAATTAAATGATATTACACGTGAATATTAAAATTTAATCTTTTTATTATATTTCTATGAAAATTTATAACAGACAAATTTATATATTCAATATTATTATTTCAGTTGCTAGTGTAGCAGATAGACTTGAAGTAATTTGTTGTATTAATGTCAAACCACGTCGTATTTTAAAAGGACATCAAGCAAAAGTTCTTTGTTCAGATTGGTCACCTGATAAGCGTCATATTGTGTCTTCTTCACAGGTCCGAATACACTTGAGATTTTTCATGTAAGCTTTTAAGTATTTCTAAGTGTAACAATTGTTTCAGGATGGTAAAATAATAATTTGGGATGCTTTTACAACAAATAAGGAACATGCTCTTACTATGCCAACTATCTGGGTTATGGCTTGTGCTTATGCTCCAAGTGGTGCTCTTGTTGCTTGCGGGTATTAAATATATTTAAAATTCATAAGATAATAATCACTATTCAGGTATGCTAAATATTATATTTATTTTTTACAGAGGATTAGATAATAAAGTTACTGTATATCCTTTAAGTCAAGAAGAAGATGTATCAACTCGTAAAAAAACTGTTGCTACACACACATCTTATATGTCTTGTTGTGTATTTCCTAATAATGATCAACAAATTCTAACTGGTAGTGGAGACAGTACTTGTGCTCTATGGAATGTTGAAAGTGGCCAATTATTACAAAGTTTTCTTGGCCATTCCAGTGATGTTATGTCCATTGATTTAGCACCAAGTGAAACTGGTAACACTTTTGCTTCTGGTAGTTGTGATAAAATGGTTTTAATATGGGATATGCGCACTGGTCAATGTGTTCAAAGTTTTGAAGGACATCAGTCTGATGTGAACTCTGTATGTAAAAGTTTGTTATATTTATTATTCATAAAAATAAATTATATTATAAAAGTAAGCTAATACCATTATAAGTGATTTGCATCATGTTATTTTGAGTTTAGGTAAAATTTCATCCAGGTGGTGATGCAGTGGCAACAGGTTCTGATGATGCAACTTGTCGGCTTTTTGATCTGCGTGCGGATAGAGAAATAGCTGTCTATGCAAAAGAAAGTATAATATTTGGGGCGAATGCCGTTGATTTAAGCGTTAGTGGACGTCTACTTTTTGCTGGTTATAATGATTACACTGTAAATATATGGGATACTCTAAAATGTCAACGAGTTGCATTTTTATATGGACATGAAAATCGAGTATCTTGTTTACGAGTTTCTCCCGATGGAACTGCTCTTTCTACCGGAAGTTGGGATTCAACTCTACGAGTTTGGGCTTAATTGTAATAAAATTACATTTATCACCTTGCCATGTTGCTAAATAAAAAGTTAGTTTTCTTTGTGCAAAATGTAAATTTAAAAAATTGTATAATGACGTTATATTTTGTTTTTAACTAAAGTGTTTTAAGGTAAAAAGACAGAAAATCTTGTAATATAAGAGTATTGTTATAATTATTACACAGACATTGTAGAAAATAAGAGGAATTAGAAATTGCGACTCAGTGACGTGATTATAACAATGTGATAGCTTGAAATTAATAATTTTTAGGCTGGTCCTAATTTATAGAAAATAGTATACCTATTACAAATAGTATATCTGTTTAATCAAATACAGTATTGTCTTGTATGAATCTTAATAAAAAATTAGTTCATGCATACTCTGCATTATTTACTATCTTTTCATGTATTACTTGACTTTAATTACATCAAAATAAAGTTTTAGCATAATATATATTTTTCGATCAGCTGGCCACCTACCAGTTTCCAGCGACATATGCTGTGCTACCGAATCTACATATGTATGCATATACATACATATAGTACGCGAATGCCTGACGGTGCACTTTATGCACGTTGCTAATCTCTAGTAAAAATATTTCATATATTAAGTTCATTTAATGGTATAAATTTACAAATACAAAATATATTTAATAAGAAGAGAAGAAATGCCACAGTACGCGAGTACGTATTGCAAACATTCGGAATTTGTAAAGATCTAACCTTAAACTTTTGTGCAACTTTGTCCGGACAACATTTAATATGTGATGTATAAAATATTTTGTTTCAGTTAAAGTAAAGTGGGGAAAGGAACTTTTTCCTAATGTAGAAGTTAATACAGATGAAGAACCAATGTTATTTAAAGCACAACTTTTTGCACTGACAGGAGTGCAGCCAGAAAGGCAAAAAGTTATGTTAAAAGGAATGACATTAAAAGATGATGATTGGGGGAACATCAAGTTGAAAGATGTAAGAACACAATTATATTAATGATAATGAACTGAATTATGATAATGAATTAAAAAACACAATTAATTTTATTAGTTTTAATTGTATTATAGGGTATTACTGTATTAATGATGGGCTCTAAAGAAGAAGATGTGCCAGTAGAACCTACTGAAAAACCATTATTTTTAGAAGACATGAGTGAATCTGCATTAGCCTCTGCTTTAGATTTACCAGCTGGTTTGATAAATTTAGGAAATACTTGTTATCTCAATGCAACTGTACAGTGCCTGAAAACTGTCCCTGAATTGAGAGATGCTTTAAAGAATTTTTCAGGCGGGCTTGCAGCTGCTGGTACTTCATCGCTTGTACCTGCACAAAGTATAACTGCTGCACTGAGAGATTTGTATGATAGTATGGAGAAGGGATCATCTTTGCCACCTGTTGTTCTTGTGCAAATGATGCATTTAGCATTTCCAAGATTTGCTGAAAAATCTGAGCATGGTGGATTTCAACAGCAAGATGCTAATGAGTGTTGGACTGAACTTATTAGAATGTTACAACAAAAATTACCAGCAAAGGTTATTAAATCTTTAAATAAAACAAACATAACTCATAATGTTTAAAATATTATATTTATATAAGAAAAGTTATTCAAACATGTAAAATAATTATAGGAAAATTCTGTTACATCAGAAGATGATGGAAAAAATTATAAACCTCGATCACTGATTGAACAATATTTTGGAGGAACATTTGATACAGAATTAAAATGTATAGAATCTGAGGATGAACCACCTACAAAAGGAAAAGAAGAATTTTTACAATTAAGTTGTTTTATTTCAACAGAAGTTAAATACATGCATTCTGGACTTAGAAATAAAATGCAAGAACAAATTACAAAATTATCACCAACTCTTGGCAGAGATGCAATGTATACAAAAACGGTAAAAATATTATGCAATTCAGGAAAAAGAATTTTATGTTTAGATAATTAAAATTTTCTTTAAACAAAGATAACATACTTTACAGTCAAAAATTAGCAGATTGCCAGCATATTTAACAATTCAGTTTGTACGTTTTTATTACAAAGAGAAAGAAGCAATCAATGCAAAAATTCTTAAAGATGTTAAATTTCCTCTTGAACTTGATGCTTTTGAATTATGCAGTAGTGAACTACAAAGTAAACTCACGCCAATGCGAGAGAAATTTAAAGAGTATGAAGATCGTTTAGTGGAAGAGTCACGCAACATGAAAGATAAAAGAGATAAAACGGAGAATAATAAAAAGAAATTCAAACAAGAACCTTTTTATTTTACAAATGGTAATAAATTTGTATAAAAATGAAAAATAAATGAAACATTTGTATGCATGTATTATATATGTTATCAAATTACAGATGTAGGATCAAATAACAGTGGTTATTATTCACTACAAGCAGTTCTAACACATAGAGGCCGATCAAGTAGTAGCGGTCATTATGTAGCTTGGGTTCGACAAAAAAGTGATACATGGTTAAAATGTGATGACGAAACTGTTAGCGCTGTAACTAGTGAAGAAGTATTAAAACTTAGTGGTGGTGGCGATTGGCATTGCGCATACGTTCTTTTATATGGTCCAAAAATTTTAGAAGTACCTGATACTGATGATACTGAGGATACAACTACCAAGTAGTCCTTATGTGACCGATAAATTTTCATAAAAATTAAAACTGGAACACTTCCACATTGCAGCTGTTAGAAAAATGCATTTTTTTTAATACGAATGAATGTCAATATAATTTTAATCTTATGGTACTATAGAATACTATTTGCAAAATAAATGACGATTATTTCCTACTGAATGATAAAAATCTAATAATGATACATTACATATATAATTTTTGCATGATGTGAATATACAGAAACTATACATTCATTGGTTCTATACGCTTAAACAAATCATGGTGATAATGAATCATTAGAATTACATGCAAATGAATGATTATTGTAAACCATTAAAGTGTTCGTTTATAATAATGCAATAAAATTATAATTGAAATTAGAATCATCTCTGTTATTTTATCAATATTCTAGATATTTACATTACTGTGCTTAATGTTTAATTTAGTTTTAAAATAATTAAAAACATACGAATGTATAGTATTACCTATAAAAATATTTAATGTGAATATAAATGATCTA